GGGCAGAACAGGTGAGAAAAATTCAGGTTTTTTTTCTTTTGCTTTTAAAAAACCCCTCAGTTCACCTTCTGAAATGCAATTGTCAGAACAGGGCAAAAATTCTGCAGAACAACCCAGCAAGCTCCCTGCTTGCTCCCCCAGGCACTGAGGGGCATGTGGGTCCTTCGAGCCAGCTGATGTTTTTATTGTGGAAAGAGGTTCAGAGACAGGCAGGAAAAAAAAAATTAAAAGGCTTGAATGAGCTAAGTGTAAAGTCTGAGAATTGAAAAGGTCCAGACAGCAGAGCATGCAGGCTACAGATCTGGCACAGGTGTCTGCTGCCTTTCAAGCCACCATTGGCATGGCATGGAGGAAGGTGAGGTCCGAAGGGTGATGAAGCCAGTGTCGAGCCTGGAGGAGGCTGTTTAACCAAGAACGGGCATGAAAGAAGAAGAAAGTGATTACCCTGGGGCAGGAAACAAAAAATCGATGAGGGTGGTGAGTGAACAAGGAGATATTTAGTAAAAGTGGTAAGGAATTTTTTGAAACCCCCCCTCCTTTTTTTTTTTTGGCCAAAAATGCTGATTTATCAAAACAGAAGATAATTCCTAAACCAACACATTCTTATGAATTTCTGTAACACGAAAAAACACGAGGAAAAAAGTATGGAAATTGAAACAGCTCATCCCATTCCCATAAAAAAGCATGTGGTTTAGATTTTTGAATTGGTGAAACACTGTTCTGTCAAGACAACTTGGACCACTTTTCAAAGGTCAGAGTCAAACCAACTCATTTCAAGATGGTAAAAAGTGATTTGAGTTGACCCAAACTTTGTGCCCGGAGGTCTTGTCTTTATGCAAAAGTAGTAAGGGTCTGGTCTTGTTTTTACCGTGGTCAGGGGCAGATCTCCCACAGCCACCTCTGATGGAAGGCTTTGAACACTGGAGGACATGAACAGATTGTGCTGTGTTTGGGCAGTTGCCCTCACTTACCTGCCAGCCTGTGGTGACAAGAAGCAACGTGAACCCACAAAACGTCATGGGCCAGACCAATGGATTTCAAGTCATGAGCTAAGGAGCACCCTAACGTGTCCAGGAAAACCTGAACCTCAGTGACTGCTCTCTGTGATCTCACCACCTCCTGCTCCTAAATGGCCTGTTTGTAACGTAACATCTCTCTTGTATTCGAGTCCAAGGTTTAGGAATCTCCCCCTGCCCCCAAAGACGTGATCACAACCCCCTTGTTCAGCCCTGCACATGCCAGCAATTCTTTGGTGACGAGGAGGAAAGGCTGTAGGTACTGCTGGGCATGTTCCCAGTTGGCTGTGGGACTTTCTGCATTGCAGGACAAAGTCCTCTCCAAGCTGCAGTTGTCCAAAGCCACCTGATCTGAAGATTTCTTGGTCTCCCTGGTACACTGCAATTCAAAACACAGCCAGAAGAGCCACCAGACCTTCTATCTTGAAGAACTCCAATGTCACATGCTGTAGTTCATTCTGTGGCTATTCCAGTTCTTGCTGTTTGAGCTACTTGGCTGCTTTTGAGCAGTCAGAAAACAAACCACAGGATCACAGAATGGTTTGGGTTGGAAGGGACCTTGGAGATCATCTAGTTCCATATAACATAACCAGCATCAGCACAAACAATACTCAGCATCTATTGCTCTCGGGAAGAGGAAGCTCGGAGCATCCCTGGCTCAGCTACAGGAGTTGGCCTCCCCTTCCCAGCCCCAAGCCATGGCAGGCTGGCCTGAGAAATACTTGCCTGGCTGCCACAGGGCACTGCTGGAGCCACTGACAGCTACCGAGCTGGGAGAAAGTGATGTAGTTGTGTTTGATTTCTGTGCAAAAACGCTGATTTTAACTGGTATTTTAATTCCTAGGAAACATAGTGAGCTGGTGTAATCTCTGTAGCACTTGTCCAACATTTAATCTAACAATAGCACTCAAACTACTTGACACACAGACATGACTTACTGTAATAGAGAAAACATGATTTGCAGCTGGACACAAAGTTTACTGAGTAAAACTCGGTAAAGCTCTGAACCTTTATGACTTTTTCGGGCAGTAATGGATTATTTATAGAAATGATCATATGTACTTCGAATTCTGCCTTCAAAAGTTAACCAGAGCAGGCCAGAACCACCACCACAACCGACAGACTTTCTTAATGAGGACTGTGGTTTTATCACCTATGTAATTCATCTGCCCCTGTTTGTAGCCCACGGAGACAGAGCATTATCACTGCGCAACAGGAGGATTCAAATGCAGGGACAGGACTTCAAACTAGGTATGGGGCAACTCACGTGCCATTTCATTGCCCGGAGAAATCACCATTGCCTATAGGCACCTTTCTTGACCTTTTAGCTGGAAGAACCTGTTATCACCCACACCTCTCACAGGTTTCCAAGACAGGGCCCTCAATGACCTCTTCTATAGAAGTATGTTTTGTTCAATTAGTCCAGCATGTAATGCTTTGTTCTCATGAATTTTGGAGCTACTCTGATGTGCAGGAAGGCAACTGAGACTTAATTTCATTATTCATCTCAATATGTTGCTGTTGTATTCAGAGAACAGACTATGGGCCCTCCTGTGGCTAATTTAGCACCTGCAAATCCCCACGCCTAAAGCCAAAGGCTGAATAACCTCCTGAATGAATTTGCAGCAACGATGCACAGGTCGAACCATCACATCGCACTTGCTAGGAAGACTTTTGTTTCTTTGTTTCTTCAGAAACTTTGTACTCACTTTCCTGTCCCAAAAGGAGACCATCATGTCCTAGTTCTCCAAGACCAGGCTGCACCCCCCAACTTTCTATTTAATCCCTTTTGACAAAATCTGAGCAGAGTTTCAGGGAAAGCAAGGTACCTGGAGGATGTGGACCATCCTCAGACTGGAGCTGTTAGCAGCTACCTCCTCAGCTGCCAGGGAGCATGCACTGAAGTTAAGCAAACAGGCTGTTTAAGCTACACTAGTTAAGGTCCTAACGAAGCCTTCTTCAGCTACGCCAGACTCTGCACTGATAGGAAGATTGATCAAAAAACCATACTAGTGTTTCCACCATAAACATAGCAGCTTCTAGAAGTCTGAAGTATTTCAGTGAAGTAAAATTGAACACTTTGTCTGAATTTGCAAGATGGTACCCCTCCCTAAACGATGATGAAACAGTTTTAGAATTGCTTGGCCTCATCAGCTGTGCTTACTCATTCTTACTGTTTGCACTCTTTAAGATGCTTCAGACTTTAGTAACCATTACTGCAGATAACCAAGGCACAACAGGAATTCTCATGTTTACCCTGCTCCCTCCACACTTTGTTTCAAATTATGAATTTCAGCATCTTTGAAGACAATGGTAATAAGATTCTGTACCTTAAAAGTCACATAACCATAACATAGACTTCTGCCGCTTGCTTGGCACAACAGCAAGACTGCTCTTCTACAACTGCGTAACCCAGGCTGGAAGCCCCTCTAAAAGCTCATCTCTCCAAGTTCAGTTTAGGATTTTTTTTTTTTTTAAACCACTGATTATGCATGACTGAATATTTGTTATGCAACCATAACAACTGTCCTTTTCAAGAAAGATTCCTGCATAATGTGAATACAGAGAATCCAAGGCAAACATGACTTGGTCTTAAAACTTTAATAGTAAAAAAAGTGTAAAACCAAACACACCGCTGAAAACTTATCAGTAAGAATGAGAATTTAAGTGTTCAAATTCAAATAGTGCAAATTTTCTTCACTTCCCTCCCCACCTCTTGCAAACTTAAATCACTTTGGTTAAGATACTCAGAAGTATTGGCAAAAAATGAACTTTTGACTTACATTTTTGGCTGCATTATTTCTGACACATACAGATTTAGTTTAAGTCTTTACAAATGAATCATAAATACTTCTCTATCAACCAAATATCTGTAGAGATCACTGTCATCTTTACTTACATCTGGTTTTATAATGCTTTGATATCGGTTTCAAGATGGTTACGAAACTGCTTCCCCAGCAGGTCACATACTTCTTAAAACAGCTGAGCTGATCCAGTCCTTACCTGAGGACCCAATTCCTTCAAGTAGTCCTACAAAATGTGATTATTCAGATTTTCAACATTTGAGGAAGGATCTTATACCAATGAAATTACTCTTGATTTACACCAAAACAAGATTAGAATTGGGGTCTGCTCTGTATTACAAACTTGGTGCTGAACTTTTCCTGCTACAAAAAAGCACAAGCAGCAGTTATAGCATTCCCTTAGAAGAGTGAAAACAGCCAGAACACTGCTACCTGGCCTCAACGTCTTTTTTGATGGGTCAGTCTTTAACTGATGCCTCTAACTGTATCTGAAGCCATGTAAGATTGGAAATAAACACAAAAAAAATTGCATAATACAAAAAGGCAAATCCATAAAAGTTTACAAGTACACCATAACCACAAAATTGGAGTATTTCTAAAAATTTGGGTTCAATGAAAGATACAACAAAACTAGCTTTACTAGTTAAATAAATTATTGCTCCATTTGACTCCATGCAGCATTGAAATGAACTCAGAACCCTTTTCTCTTTAATCGCTCATTAGAAATGATCGATATTGAAGAGAACGTGAGGCTCAGATTTACTGTACATTGCACTTCAACTTTAAGACCTAATACTTGCTATTTAGGTCTCCTGTGGTCTAAGCTATCAGATGAATATGTTGTGCTCACCAAAACTAAGTATTAAGAAACACCAAATGTTTAATGTAGTGACATAAGCACTTTTTTTTTTTTAAGAAGGCAATCACAGATTGCAAGTTCTATAGGGCTGTGAAAAAAACAAGTAGTGATCTCTTTCAGAGACTGAACTGAGAAAACAAGCTGTTCGCTGTTCTTCACATACAGTTTAAATCACATTTTAGGCCTGCTTCCATTTCTGATCATTTCAGTCAAAACCCTGACTCAAATAGAAGCAAGATCAAAGACATCTCTAGGTGGAAACTGCAGATCTAAGGAGTTGGGGGCACATACTCAGTGGCCTGCAATGCATGGTTTTTTCAGTGACACCAGACATTTAAAATACCTAAGACCTTCTTCAGTAAGATACTGAAGCATACGCCTAATATTAAGCAGGAGTACTCACATACACTTAAATTTCTTGCTGAATTGGTGACAGAACTCGATTCTTGCAAATCTAACTGCAAGCTTCAGAAGTAACGAAATTTCCAGTCAGAATTTCTTGGCAGAGTTCACATTTGAACAAGATTGTCTCCCGTGTTCATCTATCGTACTGAAGTAATATAGAAATTCCAAACTAAGTGACTTCCAACCTTTTGTCCCTCCAACCCTCTCCACCGTCAAAGAGAGAAACTTAATGCAGCATTACAACTAAGGGCACGATTCCTTCATAAGACTCCTAAAAGCATTAGTGCAATGCCTTTAATCTGTTTTGATCACTCTTATTTTTAAATAACCCTATTTTTTAAAGATTTGGATAAATACTATTCCTATTAAACCATACTTCATCATTGTTAAGCACCATCGATCTACTTCCTTTGGGCACTGATACAACAGCTTGTAATTAAATTTCAGTTTCAAGGCTTTAAAATACGGCAGCTGCTTCAATAACTTACACTGGAATCTAATACTTGGAAAACTGCCCTTAGCCTGAACAGTTGTATGCAACTTGGTGTTAAACTCTTCCAGAGAACAGCCATATGCAATGCTTATGTGGTAAATCAGGGTAAGATTTCAAGATAAGCAGTTAATTTCACTTGGCTATTCTAAGGGTGGATTAATAATTTTTTTTTCCCACAAGTCATTTGTGCAGTCAGCCCATGAAGAGATTATTTTTTCTAAATAATCTTCAATTTAAAACAGGAACACATCTTCGTAATGTTGCTTTCGCACTGGCACTGTGCTGTCTTCTTCACAGATTTAGTCATTGTGTGGTTTCTCTGGAATACCCTACGGATAAAAAACATCAAACACATCTGATAAGTGACTACATTACACAGTATTTTCAATGACTAAATAGTCAACTAACTTCAGTTAGGCTGACAATGATCTAGCAGACAGGCTTCTTATCAAAGCTCAACAAGGGCGTGCTCCCTAATTGTGGACAAAACCAAATAAAATCACTATGGGTCTGTGTTGCCTCAATTAGTGCATCTGATAAATCCATCTGCCAATCGCACTGCTTTTTGTAAGACTTTGTTAGCTTTCCTCCCTATCTCAGTTTATTTCTTAGCAGAAAGTACACAGTGCTTCACTTAATGGGCATTAACTCAGTTTTTTAACAGCCCTCTTTCAAACTGTCTTCAAGCATAAGTTACTTTATTTTCCAGTCAAAGCCTAGTATCAGATAGACTTACTTATTTCCTCCTAAGTCCCTTTTCTAGTACGAAACCCTGCAGTATGACAGCATAAGAAATGTAGCCTTCTTTAAAACAAAGCTTGTAATATGTTCTTCTCATTCCAGTCACAATGCTTGTGTATTTCCAAGTATTGAATGTGTTCACAGCTCTGCAGCCTCTAGCAGGAGCAAACAATAGACATTTGCGAGGTCCAAGTTCTGAACACCACCCTAGTTTGCCAGATGTTGAGAATGCTAGTTACAACTCAAAATGAAGTGTTGCCATCCATTCAACCCAGCTGAGCACTGACTAAGCAATTTTAGGTGTCATAATGAGCTGCGAGGGCTGGTGGCAGCAGCAGCACTTTCACCTTTTCTTTTGAAATCAAGCTATTAAAGAAAACATTGGCTTTCCCCCCCAAGCTGATAGCAAATAAAAACCCCAAAACCCAGCAGGTTTGCTTAAAGGTAACACTGCAGTTGGTACCACAGGTAAGCTCACTTGAAATCCAGTGACTGAAAAGCAGCAATCATCTCCCAAATAGCATTTCTCAGGATGGGAGGGGATGTCTCAGGGACACTTCTCATTCTACTTTTAATTTCTTTTCTAACTGCAAAAGCTAGACAGGGGCTGAGGAAGAAGCGAGACAACTTTCCTCCACTAGAGTAACTTCCACAGGTGCCACCTTCTACTCTAGACACGCCCTGAAAGTATCTACCGTTTGATCTGCAGCTGTCACATGCAGTTTAACCGCTCAGGGACTACAGGAGAAAGCAGCTACGAAAATAACTGTTTTATTCAGGTTTAGTTTTAAAAAAAATGCAATATCCCATTTTCTGGCGATATTCGCAATGGCTGACAAAAGACTGATGCTTTTGGGTCATCTCTATATAAGATAACTAGTTGACTGAATGCTATCATTCTCGTTTACAAGTGGAATCCTTTCAATTTCCAGCACTGAATGCTGCACAGTGACTGGCAAAGGTGTTCCTCTGAAAATGCTGGGCTTCCCCAAGTTTTTCCAGATTAAGTCATGGTAATGTAGAACACATGAGAAGATACTTCTAGATAACCAGAACAGAATGCTTTGCCTTGCCAACTTGCCTCTTTCTTTGAATGAAGATGACAAGATTGACAGGAAAGTTGCAGGCAGGAGCCGGTCTGATTTTAACTACGTTCAGCTGACATGAGAGGTGAAAAGAAGTCAAAGGAAAAAAGTCCTATGTGCCTAATTTTTGCTGTTTCCTTTTTAAGGCTCCCTTCCTTTGTTTTCTAACATAAGAAGCTGAGCTACTGGAAGTACTGCATATGCCAATGTGAAATACAGAACTGTAGCATATAACTGACTATAATTTTGTTTTCAGACTCCGTTTGCAATAGCAAAGCTTAAATAAAACTGTATCTCTTTTTCACTTCAGGTGAGTGGCAAATTTTAAGAGAAACCATACCTTCTCTTTCTCCCATAAATGTCATCCTAAGAAAAAAACCAAACCACATGCAGATAGGATGCACCACTGGGACTTGAAGGGGGAGTAAGTGACCTTGTATTTTAAAGAACCCCAGAGCAAACCAAAACTGACTGTGAAGGTAAGATTGTGACCATGGTCCCAGGGAATCTGTAACTTGATACCAAGTCAGCATGAAAGAAAACCCTCAAGAACAGGAGATTTGCCCAGTGCTTTTGTTTTTCATCTCCAAACAGCCTTTTCTATAAGCAGTGACTCTTAATTTAGTGTAACTGAGAATCAATACTAAAGAAATTGATCTTTCACGTTAGCCAGTGGTGGTCAAGCAACATGGTTCTCTTCTCCAGCTTGTCTGCAAGCCTCTCCATCTGCAGCATCAAGTTCAGACTGTCCACATTAGAAGTACATTAGCATCCATCCACCGGGTTAGCAAGGGTAGGAAGAAGAGGCAGAAAGCCTGTTCCAGGACAGACAGCTAGCTTTAGGCTAATCTTTTTACTCATTTGTGGTTCAGTTCCAAAAAGCAGCTCTCCCCGTTACTAAACGGTTCAGGGACTAACATTTCTGGAACTCCCAAGTCTAAAATTCCCTTTCTTCAGTAAAAACTAAAGGCACCTAAGCTACAGCAGCCTTAGAGAAGTTAAAGACTTGAAGGACATTTTCTAGGATAAAGGGCTTATGTAGCAAAGAAGACAGAAGTTAAATCAATACAGTATTAATTATTACTATCCATCAGTGTCAGAAGACTTTTATCAACCAAGCCTTAGGCTTATGCACAAGCGTGCAGCCAGGTTTACTCTTAAGTATGCTAGAAGGAAATAATTACTTAAGAACCTAGCAAAAGAGATAGTAATTTATACTATATTATCCTATTATGGAGTGATACTTGAATGACATCTTAAGTGACCAACTAGAAAGAGCGTATGTGATTCTAGAGTGGTGGAATTTAATGCTATATCGGGACATTTCCTTTCACCTACATAACAAAAATTCTTTACTGCATAAATAATTAGAGAAAGCCCATCTGTGTCCGTCTTCTAGCTACCTTAGATGTTAATTCAAAATAATGACAGAGCAGGAGCAATTAAGACTCTCAGCAGAAGCAGCATAGTGATTCCAGTCTTGTTTAGGCTGTTGCTGGAAAAAGTTAAATACAGAAGATACTCAAACACTTACTAAGACAACTCCCACTCTACTGGCAGCACAGGTTGTACACTTAGTCAGCTCTTGGGAAGATACCTATTTATCTCTGTCAATTTGTGAGTCATGCCCTTAAAGGCATAGTTTGTTCTTGGACTGACAACAATGGAAGGTATTTGGATTGTTAAAGGAAATGCTAATTATACAGCAATTACCATTGCCAGCTGTCGTCCTATGTTTCCTACAGTCACACCTCCTGAGAAAAATATACATGGAAGCCAAGAACGGATGTAAAGAAAATCTGGGGATGTATACCTAGTAAACAAAAGGAAATAAGTTAGAGACAAGTTATTATCATCACCTTACATACTGCTACAAGATGCTAGAGAATTCTCTCCCTGGGCCCAAACAAAAACACAGTTAACATAGAAGAAATACGGAGACCAAATTAAGACTGTTAACTTAATAAGCTTCTAAAACCCAATGTCCTAGCCAGCAAAGTTTAGAAATTCTGTCTCCTGAGAGCCAGTTAATGAACAAGCCAGTGGAAGTTCAGTTTGCTGACCTGTTACTATTTCAACATACATCCCCATTTGTCTGCTCCCCACCCTCCACCCCCAGTTCTCAATCTGATCATTTGGAACAACTGCACAATTAGCTGCCTTAGACGAATAAAATGTCTTATTATAAGTACATGCCAAATATGTTAATAACTGACTTCCAGTGCATGTGCAGCCCTGTTTTTAGTGAAGACATGAGAGTTGAAATACTATTTCAAGAGCATAACTTACTGATAAACACCATTATATACAAGAAACTGGGTTATCAGAGTTGCTACAAAGGCTACTGTAATCCCAAGTCCGAGACCACTTCTTGAACGATCAAATGTCCACCAAAGACCCAGTGACAAGGCTGCTAGAGTCAGGGACAGCTGGACGTTGTTTGCAAAATCTAATTTCTGGAAAAAGATGTTAAGGACAATCCTTTTAAGTCTGCAGACATCCTGCTGCTGCAACTGAACAAGGGAGAACTCAAACTGAAAGTAAGCGTGATTCTGTATCTCTAAATACAACACGTTAAGGATCTAGTTTTCAGACCTGCCAAGCAATCAGGTCTCTTACTGACTTTGACTGGAGTGCGAGTGCAAAGGCAACATCAATTTCTGTCACACTAAGCATCTAAAGAATATACTACTTTGTAATATATTTAACTTCTACAGATTTTCGTCTCAAGTAATCTAGTTATCCCTGCTGTCTCAGTTTTCTTCTCAAACCATCACTATTTAACACAAAGAACTCTCTTACTGAACAGTTCAGTGCACCGCACTAGTAAATTGTGTTAACTGTTGGATGTAGACAACACACAGACTAAAATAACACAACTTACACTGTTACGCTTGCAGATAAACCAGACATACTACGAAGCCTATCCCGCCCTGCTCCTAGAACATCCCTGCAAAGACTCTTAAGTGAACTGTGTTATCTATCTTCAAGTAACTAGTGCAGCATACTGCAGTCTCACAGAAGTTTACACCTCTGCCAGTAGCACCACCCTTACCTTTGGAGTTCTCCCAGGCAGGAGTGGGAGAGACGGTTTCATGACAACAGACTAAGCACATCGAGCAACAACGTAAACTAGTTCAAGGATACAGCACTTGCATGGTTAATGCCAACGAAAACTGCTATGCATCGCATGACGCTGGCCCACTCTCTCTTGAATTTGTGTGGCTCCCCAAGGTGGCTGTCAATGCAGGGATACAGCAGGCCAACAACAGCTGCAAGAGAAGTAACACTGCTTGTACTGACCATTATAGAAGGATTACTTCAGTATTGCTACATATCGGTTTGGCAAATAAAAGCTTGACAAAGTAGTGAGGTGCTTACCACGCTGCTGTAAGCCTGATGAAGACAAGACAATTATTACCCCCCTACATAAGAAAAGAAAAAACCCACTCTAACAAGCAATAGTCTGTTTGAACCTTTAAAGCAGACATACACATTGCAGCATTAAGGTACCTGACTTCACGCTCTTTTTCTCCCACGAGTACACATCATTTGACATCCTGAGCCGATGCTTGTTTTGTACCAATGAGTAACAAAGCAAAACAAAAGCTTTGTTACAGTGAGGAATGGAATATTCATTTATGGCTCACGTGCAGGGCAGAGTTTTATGAACTTGACTCGTTAGCTGTGAACCAGGCCCTGAATTAAATATTTGCCTGGACTCAAAAGTTTCTTGGTAGAGCTGCTTTCTTTCCTTCTGCTGGGCTGTAAGTCAGCCTATGCTGCCATCCAAATCAGATAAATTTGGATACCAAATAGAAGCAGAGCTGAAGTTAAAGAAGCACCTGCCATCAGTCCTATATATGCCAGGGAAAAATAACTACTCATACTATTAACCACAGCTTTTTAACCTCATGTAGCATTTTCTCAGCCTCACCAGTCTGCCAATGAGTTGCAGAAGAAAAACATAGGCTAGTGTTTGCTCAGTTGCCAGCACAAACACTAGATGAGTTTCATTCTTCTAAGCCTTGCAACTCTATGCGCTGTTGCCAACTCCAGGATTAGACAAGCAGCTTTAAGTGTATTTAACACCTGTGTCTGTTTCCTTTCGTATCCTTTTGGTTTTTCTGAAACTTTTATGAGGAGTAACTTCTACGTTAAGAAGGCTACAAGTCCTATCATTCTAAGACAGACATGTGATCCAACGGTGCAACAGCTTCATTACTCTGATGCCAGTTACCAGGACTTTTACTTTACAGGAAGAGCTAAACGCCAAAGTTTAATCCAACGGTGACAGGGCTATGAGAACTCTCATTGGAGCATATCCCGAGGCAATCTCTTTACTATGCAGATTATCACTCATTCAGGTTTATGGTTTATCATTCATACTCTCTTACTATGAGGCACAAGCAACACATGACTATCACTGCACGGACATCATCCAAACACGGAGAAGTTGTTTAGAATATTGTCAATGCAAATTAAAAAAGATTACGGGGGGGTTATTTCCTAAGATTCGATGCCTTTTTAGTCCGCCAACCCTTCCCCAAGGCCCTACTTTGGCAGCGATAGGAGGGGGCTAGGAACGCCAGCTG